ATAATGATGATGATAATTACGATGATTTAATTATGGTTCCGAATCGATACTTATCTTGATTTAATAAGCGTGACAAGTGTGCCGCCTTGTTTCGGCGCAAGAATATCTACTACCCCATATCCTCCATGAATTCAAGTATCGTCCTGTCTCCTTTTAAAAATTTTTGATAGAGAGAAATGGGAATAGGGGACATAGAGCAGTATTTTCTATTACAAACGTAAATAAGAAAAACTGCGGTTATCAACACGCATTCCAAGCGTGATAACAATGGAAAAATCTGCTCTATAGTGCAATCTATCATCATCATCATCATCATCATCATTCATCATCACTACAGCCTTTTACAAGTCCACTGCTGAACGTACTCCTCTCCCAAGTAATGCCACAAAACACGGTCCTGAGCCACCTGCATCCATCGACTTCCTGCATGACTTACCAGGTCGTAACTCCATCTAGTGGGGGGTCGCCCTACATTACGCCTGCTAAGGTAATCAAGCCTTTATGCTTACAACACAAAAACATTTATTATTTACATGTAAGAGTACAGCTGTGAGTTAAATATTTAAAAAAGCAAAGAGTTATTTAATTATTAAGTACAGATTTTTTTAATTATATATGTACAATGAAAACAAACGGTTATTAAAATTTAGTTTAACCTTAATTTTTTTCTTACTAGCCCTGTCCAGATACCTCAGAACTTTAAAGCTGCGATTTGACGACGCCGTGGCGGAGTGGCTTGCAATGAGTTGCGGTGTTGAGGGCCTGCAGTTCAAATCATGTACTATACAAGTATTCGGGTGGTCTACAAATAATTGTTTCGTATCTGGATATATGTCCTTGTGAAAGGATAATGGCGAACTCCCAAAAAAATTGTTGACAATTTTATTGCGTCTAAAAATGTAAAAAATGTCAAAATATAGAATTTGAAGTCCTAAACAATTTTTTCTTTAGTTGTAATACTATCTAATCTGAATGTTTGTGCAAAAAATAAAACTGTGTCAATCGAATAATTAATAGCATTTACTTACCATAACTGGTTCAGGCATTAAGATGTTGTATGGTATTGATAGCCATTGTCTTGCACATTAACACTATATGCGGTTTTTTATAATGTTGCCATACAAATCACAAGGCACCCCTTATAAAAGTTTGTAATATATTAGTATGAATTTAATTTTGAAATCATCAACATCTTATTAATGATAAAAATAATAAAATGAAGTTGAATCCATTATCGCCAAAGATTAACATAAAGCTCTTGATTTTGTTGATTATTTTGGTAGTGTTGTTTTAATAGCATCTATATTATACAGCGTGCGCTTTTGGCTTGATTTACATACCTATCTAAATACCGATTTAACTATAAGGAGAATTCCAATAATATCGGAACTTAATCTGACCAATATTGAAATTGCTATCGAATAAACTTTTATCTCCGCATACCTTTATTGATTTGAAGATGAGTCTGAATAAGACAAGTTGAATTTTTCTGAAGGAGTTCAAAGAGCCCCGATTATTGATGATGATTACAGTGAACTACCTACAAATAAAATTCCGATCGATTACAATTTATCTACAACAGAATCACAATTTGTTGAAAGAATTATTATGGTTGAACCAGACATGATAAAAATTACTAAGTTTAAAGATGGTAAAGGGGTAACTCATAATCAGGTAAGAAAGAAACTTGGTTACAAAATTGTCAGAAAAGATTATTATATAATTTTTTTTTCAATAAAAACATATTTCAAAATGATATTTAATTTAAATACGTTTAAGTACTGCTTTTTTCTATTTTATTTAAATCGTGGGGCACACTGAAATGATCGAGAATAGAATATTTTGGATTGAGTTACAATAATACCTTTTTTAGAATTTGAATACTGGTCTCTTAGAATCCAACAATAAAAAAAATGTTTGAAAACAAAAACTGTGTTGGTTTATATTTGACATGTTGTTATCAGAAATGGAGCTCATGCGTGAACATTTTATTGCCGTAATTTATCTAAATTTTCGTCGCGGCTGATCTCAAGATAAATGTCTCAGCAAACTTGTTCCGATTTATGATGTTGAAGCACAAGTCAAACGAAAATATACCGCTGGTATGCCGAGTTTCAATGCGGTCGTGTGTCGCTCAGCACTTTTTCTTCTGCAGGTCGACCAAGAACAACGGTCACGCCTGAAAACATCGCAGCTGTGCGAGCTATTATATTAGATAACCGTCATGTGACATACGAGCAGATTCGGGCTATTATCAGTATCGGAATGACTGCAATTTAGTCGATATTACATAATGAACTGTGTGTAAGAAAGCTAGTTTCCCGCTGGGTTCCCCACAATTTGTCCGAAGAGCAAAAAGGCGGCTCGTGTAGATTGGTGCCGGAATGCTCTGCAACGCTTCAACGGAGGGAAGTCAAATGCCGTTTATAATATCGTCTCAGGTGACGAGGTATAGATTTATTCATACGAACCTGAAAGAAAACATCAGTCAGCAGTTTGGGTCTTCGAAGTCGAGGTCAAACCAACGAAAGTGGTTCGCTCCCGCAGCGTGTCAAAGAAAATGGTCGCTACGTTTGTCTCGAAAAAGGGTCATGTTGCTACAATTCCTTTACAGGAACGCAGAATGGTTACTGTTGAGTGGTATATCACGGTTTTTTTACCAGAAATGATAGCCAAACTCCGAAATAATAACCCAAAATGTCGCATCATCTTACATCACGATAATGCGAGCTCCCATACGGCTCGGAAGACAAATGATTTTTTGAAGCAGGAAAACGTTGAGCTGATTAGCCATCCTCCGTACAGTCCTGAACTGAGCTCAAACGATTTCTTAACATTCCCTAGAATGAAAGATTTATTACGCGGTCAACCGTTTGAAGACCCCGAAGCAGCTGTGGAAGCGTACAAATCAGCCATTTTGTCAATATCAATTTCAGACAGGAATTACTGTTTTAATGATTGGTTTGCACGAATGGAAAAGTGCATTGAGTTAAACGAAAAACAATAAATACAATTTAGCTATACCGTGCATGTGGTTTTTCTTATTCACGATCATGTTGGTGTGCCACTCCATGGGTACACAGTTTCGACGGGCATAATGCCTGAGGCATTCTCTTACTTATAAGTAACTTCGTAAACGTTTATGCATATTATTATATCTAAAATAAGCATTAAAACGGTCCATTGCGTATGTTAGAAACTATTACGTATATATGTAACTATGCACATAAATTGGTTGTTATCAGTCGATGTATGATGTTCGATGTATGTTGTGGGCAAACCTTGCGGTGGTCCTGTGTTCCGCAGTTGATACGTATTATAAAAGGCATACTATAATATGTATATTTTCATGTACGTAAAACCGTTGGTCTTGCACCTAATATTTCTCCGTTCGTGTTGGATTGCTGCCCCATCGGACAATGACAGTAAGGGAGTAGGAATTTGCATGACCGAAAATTAAAAATAGAGTAACGTTAATGAGGGAAAACCTATTCTCAGAGTACGATGTATGCAAGAAAGAAATAAAACATTTATTACATATTATGGCGGTTTGAAAAATGTTTAAAATATACAAATATACCATTCCTAAAACTCACTAGCGTGGTGACAAGCAAAAGCTAGATAAAATTGGGAAAAAAATTAATATTTAAAAATAAAATTACATACCTTTAATAGAAAATTATTTATTTGTGCGATACAATAACAGGGAAAATATACGAAGTGTAGGGCGGCCCCACTAGATAGAGAGACGACCTGGTAAGACATGCAGGAAATCATTATATGCAGGTGTGTCAGGGCCGTGCTTTGTGGCATTCTTTAGAGAAGGCCTATGTTCAGCAGTGGACTTATGAAGGACTGTAATGATGATGATGATGAAAACCAGGGAAGTTTTTGATTTTTTTTAAACTGCATGCAAGGTTTTTACAGTTTAATGTGAGTTTTCACTTATTCATTGCTCACAAATCATTTGGAGACGTAATTTCTAGAGTCTGAAGATATTAGAGTTGTTATTGATGATCTTTTAGTAGAATAATCCAATAACAGATATTCCGCCCTACCCGAGAATCGAACCTGAGACATTATGATCAGCAGTGACCACTAGACAAATGAGAGCGTCACCACTTCCCGAATCTGTAACGTAGTATCTTTTCGGGAATATCAATATGTGTTGATAGTTTTAATGAAATTAAAACGAACGGATTTCAAATTTTATAATACGAGATTACAAGAGAATATGTTTTAATTATAATATCGTATTTTAAATATACTGCATACATGCAAAAATACTTCATATTATTTATATTTTACTTATTTCGTATTATAAAATTTCTCGTTTTATTTACGTTCATGTCTCGGTTGTTTTTCGTCCCTTCTCTTACCTCTCATTAATCCGTGCTTGTGTATCGCAATATAAAACGTGAGCACACGACTTCAATTACCCATTATCTTCAAATCATATACAAAGATATTTATCAAAGTCAGTTTCGCCATGAACTTTCAAGGTGAGCTTAATGTTTCGCAGATCGACGTTGGTTATGATGTCACTGTAATTTGTAAATTAACCTTTATATAATGAAATTAAGGTATGCTATAAATGCAATTATAATTTAGTTTAACAAAAAAGGATGAGGTAATTGCATTAAAACTCCTACGGCAACGAAAACAATTTTTTTGTATGTTGTAATAAAACACAATAACAACATTCACTGATCCTTTGAATTTAATTATACAAAATATGTATTTGCTTTCGGGTAGAGACTCAGTGTAGACGAGTTATCATGTATGTAAAGTACGTAATAGTAGTCTTATTTGTGTTTGAATTAGTGGAGATTAAAAGTGAATGCAATAAGTATTTCAAATGTTTGGGTGCGTTTCTAAAGGAATTTATTAATGGTAATCAAAAATATGATATAATCATTAAAGAAATTATTAGTGGAAATTACGATCAGTCTCAGACTTTTCAAATTACATTCAAAAATTTAGATAAATTTACTAAGGATATGATTGATTTAGTGAATGGCAACATTGAACTCCACGAGGAAACTATTAATTATTCTAAAACAATCGGACACACAGGCAAAAAGACTACGACTTATGTTAAAACCATCTCAAATGATGATAAAATCGAATCCAGAAATATACTTGGATCATATATAAGCAATAACAGTACGATAAATATGACCGAAAAAACAAACAACATCACGAAAAATTTAATTAATATTTTTCATAGTGAATATGCAGATAATATTATTAAGGAAAACAAGGTCGACTTAGAAGAATTTGTAGATTATTACGATTTTGCAGACGACAATACTACCGATTATCCAATAATTGACTATATAGACTTATATAAAGACACAACAAATGAATTAGTCCAAGTTTTTGTTACAAATTCAAATATAGAAAAAAATTCGGACTACGTAACAGAAATAAGTTTAAATTATATGCAAAAAGAAGATAAACATGTGGGTGAAAATTCAGATTCAAGTGTAAGTAAATAACAGTAAATATTACGGCTTAATTTATTTTAACCATTGTTTCTAAACATAATCGCTCCGTTAATAATTTTATCTACTTTTAAAAGCTTTTGGGCTTTAAGACAGTAAACACAGGAATCGAAAATCACTTATTCATTAGTACCTCCAGTTAATTTTAAAAGACAAATATAAATAAATTTAAATTTAAATTTACATGATTTACTGAAGTTATGTTTCGATAGTGTTTACTATTTGCGAACATTGTTAAAAATATGAGTAATCAACTCGCATGTTTCTTGTATGGGAAGATCTCATTTTAGATTTAAACACATCATATTAAATAATGAGAACCTCTAGCGTAACAATAATATTGTTTATTTGCAAGAAAATGTTAGTACAACGAAGTTTATTTACAATATGTTCCACGTATTCCACTACTAGAGTTGTTCAAATATTATTACAGTTAAGAAATTATTATTATTTCAATAATATCTATAAAAAAATTGATGTTTTCTGTTCGTATTTTATCGCTGCCATAACGTTCTTCAGATTGCGGTAAATCTTTGTCACCTTATTGCTTGCACTTGTGCAAAGGTTATAGGCATATTATAATTAACTTACAGTAAGTAGGGCGCATATCTTATAGATAATTTTATTCCAAATTAATCATTTATTGCAACTACTTTTACGGATTTTATCGCGTTTAATTGACATCGGGTCGTCAGTCACCTCAGTCCCTCGTGACCATGGGTGCTGGAAAGCACCCGAAACTTCGGGAATTAAAAATCAATTAAAATTAAACGCAATAAAATCCGTAAAAGTAGTTTTGATCAATGTGTAGTTTTCGCGTAAATTTAAGAAATCATTATAAAATTAATCATTTAACTTCAATGAAGGGATTACCATTTCTTAATATACAATATAACTCTTCCAAATTTAGAACGATATTTTCTCTATTATTTTTCTGCGAAAAAATATTTTTGCTCACCTTTACACTTCTTTAAGTATAAACACCATTAAAATATTTTTTATCTTCAAATATTACTTAAATAACTACCAAAATAAAGATTAATTTAATGTTACAGCCTAAATATATCCTATGGCAGCCACAGGCTTCCTCTCATTTCTGAAAGGGTTCTGGGAGTGTTGAGTGTCGGTCTTACTGTCCTAACGCGTGTTGGCAAACTGACATGTCTTCGAAATTTTTTTATTTATTTCTCCAGACTTTATTTTCGTTATGTTTACCAACGGAGGCTAGTCATCTGAACAGGATAGGATTATAGTGGGTGCACTCTCTATCTCTGGTCCCATGACACGTTAATCTGATACGACCATAGAGAGATTAGATGCAAAACCTTAATTTTTACGTTCTTTGAGGCCCGGTGGTGAAACATTATCAACTTCTTGACTTCGGACTGCTACTGAAAACTCTTAGACGGATAAACTAATAACTAAGAAACTGATTCATAGGCCCAACCCGGAGTTTGAACCCGGGACCTCAAGATTAGCAGCCGCATTTGCGATTACTTGGTCAAGGAAGCAGTCATAATCATAGTTAGTATTATATTTAACAGTAACTGTGCCCGCTACGTGGTTCACATAGAGTCTTTATGTAAGCAATGTATTTGTTTCGAATATTTGTACAATTTTGAAACGACACTACGGATTACTTAAACACCGTGGGTGGCGAATCCGTTTAAGTTATATTTCAAATAAAACTAATTAACGTAGATTTGATGTATATTTATTAAAAGTGAACAGTATCACTTGTCTATAAATGTTAGAAGAAAATTAATATAATCATAGTAAATCCACGGCTAACTCAAATTGAATATAGCGACGGCAATGTTTTTATACAATAATTGACATTTTTACTGAAGTCTGTCCGATATAGGTACATCAAAGATGTTTTATAGGTACAGATACCGTGTTGCTAACACATCGCACCGTTCACAGTGACGCCAGTCTTTGATTCATGTGTGCGTGAGTACCACGTGACGCGCATATCTTACGTACCATGCCTGCATTAGTGTGCGTGACTTCGGTAATAATAGTGCAAATCGATTGCCCAAAAATTTGGGAGATTTTATATTTCATTTACATATTATATTGACATACCTGAGTGTAAAATGTGTGTGCGAGGCGTGTGCATTTGTGTCTGTATGTGAATGGGGATATACACACACAAGTGATATGGGTGGTTATATGTGTTTTATGTAGGTACGAAAATCGCACTAAAATAGTGAAGATAAGTAATAAAAGCTAGCAGTTAAAAATAAATAAAAATCACAGTAGATATTTATGTATCTAACATATATTGAACTAATCTATTATTATTGAATATATATAGAGTACTACACTTTCGTATCTTAGAACCCAAAATATTGTCGCTTTTTATGAAGACATTAATTATTTTAATCTTAAGTAAAATGACGAACAAAAGTAAGTTTGGTTGAGCGTAGCCGTAAAAGTTAACTTCGGCCAAGAGATAGTAAATGTTTTTATTAAATTCATATATCGATCCAGTTTATCAAACAACGGTTGCGTATCGGCTGCTTTGGATAAATATCCGTTGTCAATAGTTGCTTTACATCTATTAATGAGATTCAAATGTGGAAAAACATTTCATACGGTAGGCAACACTCGAATATTATTGCGCAGTATTATTACTTGCATTGACATTCAGCTTTCGTATTATTTTATCAAGAAATACACCAGAAAATTGTATATTTACTTATGAAAAGTGATGTTCTTATCCTTATCTTTTTTTCAAGAGTAATTCTTACATGATTTCATAGCACAAACAGTCATTTTGTGAAATTAAAAACACTGGTGCGTGATGTACGTTCGCAGTGAACGTCGCTGGCGTAATGGCGGAACGATCGAACGAATACGCCAATATTGGCGCCTTTTAAATGGAAGCGTTTTAGGCGCGCGTACACGATATCTGTACCTATAAAACATCTTTGAGGTACATGAAATTTCCTATGAGGTTTTTTAAAACAAAAATAAAATCTGGTATTTAAAATATGTGTCGTCGGCTTTGAAGATTTCCTTTACGAATAACAATGTATATTAATAAAGTACAACATCGTAAACATTTTATTATAACAAAGTAAGTTTTAAAAAATAATAAATTTGCAATGTTTTTTTCGATTTTTAATTAAGGTCAAAATGTCAATGTAATTTATACATATATGCAATAAAAATTTGTTATCATCATCATTATAACCCTTCACAAGTCAACTGCTGAACATAGGCCTCCTCCAAGGTATGCCACAAAGTTATGAAAAATTAGTTATGATAAATGAATTTTAATCCCCCTATGAATTTGTTATATTCACATATAAATGGACTAACTCAGAAAAAAAGTGATTATTACTATTTTAAAAATCTCATTCAATACAGGATTTCAGTAGACGGTTCTATTGACTAACAGTTTCTTATAGTTATGAACAGGAGCTTTTATAAAAAAATGGAAACGATGATATAAATATATTATTAGTACTCATACTCGTTATTAGCATTTAAAAGATTTCATTAGCATTTAATTTAGAATTTAGTTCAAATTAAAGTTTATCAGTTTCTAGAGTATTACATTATTACACATAACAATTCCTCAGTGGTTTTCATTCAATTTTTTCACACATTCTTAACTATTTAAAAAAAAATTCTTCTGGGATTATGCGTAGTTTAGTTTATGTAAATAATCTATACATATAATTAATCTGTAGAAAAGTAGTGTCTGTAATTCTAATATTTTCTGAAAAAAGTCTAAAGGACTAAATAAAGGGCACTGAAGCCAAATTAGTGGTTTTTGGAATTTTTTTGTCTATCTGTCTGTCTGTTTGCCTGTCTGTCTGTGTATTAAAGTTCCACGCAAAAACTATTGAACAGATTTCCATGAAATTTCGTGTATAGGTAGTTAAGAACCCGGGACTACTTATAGGATACTTTTTATCCGATTACGGAACTTCAAAAAAGGAGGGTTAAGCAACGCCCTCTTAGACCATACCGGGGCCTTGGGCACACAAGAATTTAGGCCCCTGTTGGAAAGTAAAAAAAGCGAATGACAAAAACATTTTTCTGCTATGACCTTATATTATAGTTAAATGGGAAGAATCAAATAATATGTCATTAATGAAGGCTTCCACGACTTTTTCTACCACCAGAGCGGCGCTACTTTAAAATGAATATTTGTCAGATTTCATAGCGGGGACGATAATTTCTTAGGAAAATGTAACCTTTAATGTTTGTTTTCTAAACTCTCTTTAAACAGAAGAAAATATTCTATAAAAATATCAATACTTGTATTCTTTTTAATTATTACATTAAAATTAAGGCTTCGCTAGTCTAAAAATGAGGATCGTAACAATTATTTGCCATAAAATCTAACACTTGTATTTGAAAATTATCATATTAAATACATAATTTTCCGTTTAATATTTTGAAGCGTTATTTTTATTAAGCAGTGCGAAATTATATTTTTATCTCATAGTCATAGATTATAAGTACAGATTGCCGACTGTACATCCCGACAAAAACGTTTAGATGGCGGCGATGTGCGTAACTACATATTGTCTACCTAGGAAATCTGTCAATGACACTTTTTCTGGCTAACTCGGCAATGTATGGCTTGTCAATGCTCAGGGCTGCCAGAAAGTCACTATCAATATAAAATATCAAATTTTATACGTGGTAGAGCCATGCTGCAGTTATATTAGTAGTATAGTTGTAGCACCAATGGGTCAGCTCGACCGGGGAAGGACCACGCTCACACAGAATATCAGCGTAAAATAGTAGCATAATGCTGCTGTGTTTCGTATGGTGAGTATAGAAAACCGGAGACCCTTTTTACTAGAAACAAGGCATTCCATCTTAGTCCTCACGGGTGACAACGCATTTGCATTTTGTTTTGCAATCGAGGATAGATGTAAATGTCTACCCAATCCTTTTAAAAATAAATCAACACCCTAATTTACTTTTTTTGGGTTATATTTTTCTAATATAGA